ACACATACAACAACAGAATAGAGGGTATCAGAAACAATGTTATATAGCGGAAACATACTTATAATTAACACTTATATCAGAGTATAGTGGAACGATTACTCATATTTTCTTCAGGCTCCAACTTCACAGGGACAGCTGACTAGGGGCTACGTATGCCAAGCACTTCTGATAGTATCCTGAGAACTCCTTCGTTGTCTTCACCAATCTTCTGAGCAACTTTTACTAGAGTCTGGGGGTGTGGGGAAATAGCAAGGGTGAGCACATGTCGTACCCAACGAATATAACACTGGGTTCATGAGGCTCAAAAGGCCGACACGGGTTTACTACGATTAGCTTTTAGTGAGTCATAATTTTAAGCAATTGAGTAGCAACAAGTTTAACATAAGCCCCAAATAACCACATGATCAGGTAAACATGAATAATGAATAGCATAAACAAATCATTAGTGAGCATCTTCATCATCAGTATCATCAGTGTTCATCATCTATTCCGTAAATATTCCAAGGCCGCTCGTGACCGTGATCACGGCTGTTATAACAGTTTTACACTCTGCAGAGGTTGTACACTTTCACTGTGAGTCGTGATTTACCCTTTCGTCCGAGGTCGTGAGCCTCTTAACCCACTACCAAGCAAGGTCGGCAGGGTTCACTATGAAGCCTTTCAAAGGTTCGTCTAACAAGTTAGGGGCGCTAGGTTTCTGTGCCCTACGAATGTAGGGCTCCCCTTCCGACAGGCATAATAACGCGCAGCCTATACACTGACGGACAGAGGCCGCACTATATCCAACCCGAAACACACTCCTCTTGCGCCATAAAGGTAACCTCTAACAAGCTAGAAAAGGTCCTTGTACTGAGCTAAAGTCAGAGCCATATAGCCCTCACAGTTGTACTGTAAGTCTTGGATGACCACTTACAGATAAGTCTTTAGGAGAGAAATCTATAGCATCATAAAATAGCCCAATGCTCTAGTCCTCTTATTCCATGTTGCTAAAAAGCATCTTTTAATGTTTATTGCATATTCCATTAGTCACGTTATAAGATCATGGTTATAGTTGAACACTAGCATCATACTACCTAATGCAATAATCCAAAGGTGTCAAGGAACAAGGTACAAGGTACTAGGAAATCCTTAGTGATAATCGAGGTAGACACATGCAGCATGAATTAAATAATTAAAGGTGTATAGAACAACAAGAAAGATTCCATGCTATACTTGCCTTAAACACTTGCTCAACTCTCGTACCATCAGCTTTCGGTCATCACCTTTTGATCTTCAGCGTCCAGAAACAGTTCTCGTCTACTCGTAGCAAGCACCACATATAGGCAATCATACAAGCAACAAATAATAGCAACTAAGAACAACAGAGCAAGAGCTTTAAAACAGCGTGTTAAGAGAGAACTCGCTGCTACGATCGAGAGAACGCAAGAAACGCCGATAATGGAACTATCGTTAAAAAGAAATGACTAATGGGAGTTTTATATTATAAAAGAAAAGAAAACAACTACAAGCTTGATTTATTATAATTAAACAAAACCGTTGAAGAGTTATTAATTCAGATTATACAAATTAAATTTTAATACAAAAGCTGAGTTAAAACAAATCATGTTTTATTTATAAATATTACTGTATAGTTTTAAGCAAGTTAGATTTTAACTTTGCAAAAATAAAGTAATATGTCAGATCATTTATTCAAATTATATATGGTGCGTGTTTACACTAACCAAATTATTATTTACAAACATATTTATGTTGCTATTAATCAAGTTAATAGTGGCGCACAAAAAGATGATTGTTAATCTCCATGTTGTTTTTAATTTGGAAAGCAGTGTGAACAGAGATTAGTCAAAATTAATATTTAAACAAAAAATTTAGAAAACATGAATCGTGTTAAACTTCGTTGTCATACAGTAGACTACATCAATTCCAACGCGACACAGAAAGAATAGATTAAAGCGGGGCTATAGCGATTAAGATACGATGGAAATAAGATAACGGCAATGATGAACATATATAGCTATATATAGCTATAGAGACTGAGTGGCAGCCTGAGCAGCTCCACGACCGTATATGAATGGTACAATTTCTTGACCGAGGAATAAATAGAGAATGATGATTTATTATGCATGAATGACAAGGCATGACATCAGCACAATATTTGATCACTAAAATAATGGACAATGAGGTGATGTTGACCTTTTATTAATCGGCCATCAGGAGTTTGCTAGTGATGTAAGCAACCACGTTGGTGCTGGTTCTGAGCAACGACGGCTTGCAAGATTACAGCACAGATATAGCTCGGTTTGCAGGTGAGCGAGTCAAGACTTGTTTTGTTGGAGATGCATGGATCGACAAGCGGACAAGTTCAGAGCAACTCCTATGATGGAGGGATGACATCAATAGAGTAGTCTTTGTATGACTTAGGGCACACGGTTTCTCAAGATTGAATACATGGGAAAAGAGTAGTAACCTTGTGATTATTTTGGTAAAGGAAAGATCCTGTTTGCTGACCCCAGACGATGACTACTTGCTCGCATGTGCACTGCAGGAGGATTTTGGCTTGTTCATGTGCACGAAGACGTAGGCATGCATGGTGCTTGCAAGTTGCGTTGACGGCACGCCGGACACGAAAGCTCACGAGTGGTGGCCGGTCTTGCGGAAGATGCAGGCTCGGCTTTCACGCGTGGGCAGCAAGCCCTGGTGGCACGATCCCGCATGCGCGGATTGATACAAATAAGGATGCTAAGATGTAGAGAACGAAGAGAGGTAACTTGTGATGGCGAGGACTCGCCGGAAGAGTCGTCGGAATAGACCGACGGTGACACGACAGGAAGAGAGAAAATTCTAATTTATTATACGAGGAATTTCCTAAACTAGGAGCTCTTCTTACGGTAGTTTTAGTGTGCTTTGCTCAAAGAATTGGTACATATATATAGGGAGAAAAAACTCCCCACATTCATGTCAACTAGCGATATGTTACTAATTGACGTTGCACCATCCACCTACACTAATGGACCTAAATAAATATTAAAGCCCATTAGTAAATAAAGATATGTGCCTTTAGGATTTATTAAGATTATTGCACATGAACTTTGAGAGTCGGGAAAAATGAGAGATTTATTATTTTCAGAATTAATTAATTTCATGGATAAAATAATTCCATAAAAGTCTAGAATTATTATTTAAGCCGCAAAAAAATACTTCGAAAGCTCTGAAAATTCGGGAAAATTTTCGAGAGACATTATGGAATATGAGGAACCCAAATAAAATATTTGGAGCTCATGATAAGATAATTTGGAGCATCTAAAAATTAAATTATGCTCACAGATAAGTAGGAACAAGTTTCAAAAAAAGATGGAAAATTCCCGAGAAGTTTGTAGAGATTGACTGACGGACGAGGAACTGAAAAGTGTGATCTGCTTTACAAAGAAAAGTTTTTGAGAGGCTGCGAATGAAAGCTTAAGCTGAGAAACAAGGAATTTGATTGAAAAAAATGATAAAGGCGTGCCAAAGAAGGAAGATCGACCTACTAAACGTATTTTAAAGACTTTGCTCACTCTCAACACACAAAGAAATAATAAGCAAATATTACATCAAACAATATCCCGTCAAATTAATTCAGAAAAGTTTGAAGATTCACATTTTTCCTATAACTAATTGACTCTAACTTAAACTAAACTTGAAAAATTTTATCAAATATCAAAATATTTATTTTAATTTGTGTTTTCTATGCATAACCCAAAATTAGAAATTTTGGGGTGTGACAATGGCGCTCCTCGCCCCCCATCCCAAACCGTCGTCGTCGAGCCAAGCCCGGGTACCGGTGTCATTGGTGGCGCTGTTGCTCGTGCGCCGCCTCGCCGCTGGCTCCGACCCCGATGGCTGGAATCGACCAGCCCAAGCTCCCCCTCCCCTATGTTGCAAATGTATGTTTTAGGTGTTTCAGTCGTTTCAAATATATGTTGCAGTTGTTACTTATGGATGCTGCAAAAGTAGATCGGGGGATGTTGTACATGTTGTATATGTTGCAAGTGTTTCAGAAGCATGTTGCAAGCATTTGTTCAAAATGTTTCATCTGCTTCTAGATATATGTTGCAACCTTTTTTATCTGGATGTTGTATATATTTTCACACATATGTTGCAACAGTATATTTCAAATGTTTCAGCTGTTTGAGCCTTATGTTGCAGTACGTGTTTTTCATGTTGCAAATGTTTTATCTAGATGTTGCATATGTTTCACACACATGTTGCAAGTGTATGTTCCAAATGTTTCATCTGTTTCAAATGTATGTTGCATTCGAGTGTTTCATGTTGCAAGTACAGACCACCGGCGTTGGTGTCCATGACGACGGGCAGGGCTAAGCCACGGCCACTAACGTGTGGAGGAGGCGTAGGCTGCCGCCGACTGTGTAGAGGAGGCACAGCCGTGCAGTGTGTTGTGGAAGAGGCGAGGGCGAGTCTTCCCGGGTGGCTTGGAAGAGCGGGTGCCACGCCGGTGTGGAAGAGGCGGGGACGAGTCATCCGAGCAGCGTGGGCAGCTGATCTGAAGCGGGCGGTTCGAATGCGAGCGTGGGAAACAGAGCCGGCGCGGGCGGCTCGTGAATCCGAGTGGATAGGGCAGAGCAGCCGCGGACGTTTAGGCCTTTAGGGTACTAACGTAGGGTACACGTCCGGGCGCTAGTGCTGGCCATCCGTTTAGGCCTTTAGGGTACTAACGTAGGGTTTGGAGGTTTAGGGTTTTAGATGGAGAAAGTACTTCGTAACATTCATCATGTTTTGTATACTAAAGAAAAAGTAGACTAAATTCACTTAAACGCCTTGATTAACTTAATAATTAGAGAGGGTGTATAAGTAAAAAACTGCAACCTTAGGGGTGCTTCTGACTGCAAGCACCTCTATATAATGGTGCTCAAAGAACCTTGCTGCTGTACACCCCGCAGCGCACACCCGATCGAGGCCGGAGATTCATCTACCAGCAATCAGCTGGAGAAGAGATCGGCGTGATGGCGAAAAAGCAGCAGCGGCAGGTTGTGTGCATGGTGTTCCTGCTGGTGGCCTTCCTTGTCATCTCGGCCATGCACGCCGTCCCTGCAGAGCCCGGTAGGTTACAGTCACATGTGCTTTCGTCTCGTCCTTGCCGTCGTAAACAATTTAACCGTGCGTGAGGCGGGTTCTCGTGCAGGAAGGACGCTAGCAGAGTCGTCGGTGGGTTACGAACCACTGAAACCAGGCGTTTTGGATCCTGACCGACCAGGTGTTTTGGATCCTGACCGACCATACACCCGGCGATGCAGAGAAATCTACGAATGCCCACATACACATGGAACTGCAACGCCATGAGCCTGTATCTTGTGACACACAGTTTGGTCCGCCTAGCCCACTTGGCATCGCTGTACCTAATGGATGATGGCATGCAACGTGGAATTAAAGGAGCCGAGAGGCAGTATATATCCTTCTTGAAATATACTCTCGGTTGCCAACTTGCCATAGGATAAGATAGCGAATAATTAATCCCTACACCTACGGGATCGGACCATCTAACGGTGGACGGGTGGAAGTAACTTACGTGCCTAAATCATGGGATGTTTAGTCCGTCTGCAGTCTGCCATTAGGCAAGATTCGGCGAGTGGTATGTATGAATATATAATAAGTAAATTTGTCGGCTTAGTCTTCGAAGAAGCTCGTAAGGATAGGGTTTGCATGCCTATGTCATAGAGGTGAGTATGTATGTATTGTGTAAATGTATGCGTACTGTGTTAATTCTAAAGAAAAGTAAATGAAAATTCGTGTCTGTAATGTAAACTACTGCCGCTGTTTTACATTTCAGACCCATTTCCAACGTGGCCTTCTCCTCTTATAAATTTATCCCCTTTTTCTTTCAGGCTTTCGTAAGACTTCTCAAATCCCTGAAAACTACGACGTACTAGTTCATGTACAATTCACCCGTCAAATTGGTTTACCGCATGTGCTGATAAAGAATGACAGTTGACAACAACTCAAGCACTATACAAAAAAAAGTGGAAGCACCAACCAGTGTCGGCCCTAATAGAAACAATGGAAAAAACTATGAATTTTGTACGATTCCAATTTCATAGGAAAAGTTTCTGCCCCTTTGGTACCAAGATTGAGACCTATAAGAAGGTTTTATTTGGAACCAGGATTGAAAAAACACAGAAATAAAAAAAAACATAGGAATGAGATAGGAATGCAAGTGTAAAATATATTATGATTGAAGAACAGAGATTCAGTGACGATGGTTGTTTGGATGGCCTATAGAAAAGCGCAGGGTTTTTAGATAGGCACATGACTCCATCCTACGTGAGCTAGCAAGAAAACGAAGGTCGGACTGGATAGAAATTTTCCTATGTATAGAATCTATTGTTAGGAACTTTTCCTATGAACCAAACAATGCTACAGTACTCAAATCCTAAGGAATCCAAATCCTAAGTTTTTTTCTTGTTTCTCCCCCGTTCCAAAGGGTCCCTAAAATCCTTTGAATTCCTATAGGATGCATGAATTTATAAAAAATTTAGAGAAAAACTAATGTGAGATTGGATCTCCTGAAAACTTTACCAATCTCTTCAATGCCTATAATATTTTTGTCTCTTTTGCATCCCAAATGAATCAGATCTCCGTCGTCCTGTCACTACTATAATAGATTAATATATCACCACCGGCTCCAGAGATCCCATCACCACCGCCAGTTTCTTCCCTCGTCGGTGAAAATGGCAGTACTACAAAGGAGAAGATTTTCAAAGGCAGGCGGTAACCGATGGTCACTGTTAATCGCCGGTCGGCATGCCCGTCCTATAAATCGGTTGAGAGGCTGGCAGCCTAGCACTGTGAAAGGACCAAGATGCACAAGAAGAGGATGAATTAGGCTAATCTAAAATTTCTTGTAATAACTAAGTCTATTTCACCCCTCGTGCCTAAATGTGTTCTCTATTATTCTACCGCATAAAAGTTTTACACCCTAGGTTCTAATCCTACTCCAGTATGACAATTCTAAAAATGTAAAGACATGAATTGAATTGCTCAAATGTAAATGCTCAAAGTAAAGAGAGTGAGAGAAACGCGGTGATGTTTTTTTGAGGTATCGGAGAGTCGTCACTCTCCACTAGTCTTTGTTTGAGCACCCGCGCAAAGGTGTAGCTCCCCCTTGATCCGCGCAAGGATCAAGTGCTCTCTACGGGCTGATTCTTCGACACTCCGTCGCGGTGAATCGCCCACAACCGCTCACACCATAACTTGGGTCATCCACAAGTTCCGCCGGATGATCACCAAGCTTCTAATCACCACCAAGCCATCTAGGTGATGACGATCACCAAGAATAACCAACACAAACTCTCACTTGACCAAGAAAGGCCTAATAAGAAAGGTGGATGCACACTTGCTACTCTCTTGCACTAATAAGGTCCTTAATCTTGGATTATCAAATCTCAATCACCCCACTAGGTTCTTATCCCCCCTTGCACTCTAAAGTGTTTCCTCAGCTGAACAAATGGGCAAGAAAGCTAATAAGTTGGACGAGTAGGAAAAGTATTTATACTCCCTACTTCAAAACATACCCATTAGGGTCCAACTTAGCATAATTCGGGGTGATCGGACGCGCCTGTCAGAGTGACCGGACGCACCCGGTCAGTAGCCAATGGCTACGTGACACCAGTGCTGACGGAGAGTCATTGCCCTGACCGGACCCTGACCTGTGTCCGGTCAGCAAATTTCCTCTCCTGTGCCTTTCTGTTGTTGACCAGACTCGGTCAGCAGCGTGTACGGTCCTTTCCTACGCAGCGTCCGATCCTGTCTATGTTTTGCGCCTCCTCTGCAACAGTTGTAGAGTCGGGTCCTGTCCTGGCCTTGCATGAGCATCCTGTCAAACCAAGACTCCTAGCTGCGCAGCACACAACTGACCAGACCCGATGCCTCAGCGTTCGGTCCTTCTAACCACCGCGTTCGGTCAGTAAGAAACCACCCCATTCACTTTCAATTCAAGATACTTTGTGAATGGGATCGACTCCAAATGATCTTTGAGCTGTCCCTGAGCTACCTAGTGCTAAGTTTGACAAGTGTGCACTACACCTAAATCATTAGACTCACCTAGGTCAAACTACTAGTTCACACCCCCCTTAATAGTACGGTCAAAGGAAAAACAAAGTCCTAAACTACTCTAAGTGTCTCTCAACGCCAACCAACACTTAGAACTAGTCCATCCTTAACCTTGTCATCCATCCTTTGAAAACCGAAACGATTTCCATCGATAGAGGCATGAAAACCATTGTTTGCCCAAACAATCGCATTATTGCGACATAACTTAAATTGTCTGTACAAAATACACGTTAGTCACAGTAATCTTATGTCATCATTAATCACCGAAACCTACTAGGGGCCTAGATGCTTTCACACCTTAAGATGCCCGTCTTTGTTAATGCCATTCACAGGCCTCTGTTAATGGTTTTTAGAAAATCCAAAAAAAAAAAAAAATTGCTTCTCAAAACTCAAATCCACGACCTACTTATTCTCGGCAATAACCTCAACAATGCTCATTTATGAATATATATAGGACATTATCTTTTTTATCAATATTTTATAATCTTATATTAAATATTTAGGCTACTAAATGAACTAAAATGACAAAAGTTTCACCTATAAGTTTTAAATATTGTCAAGCACTATAACTTTAGCATAGGATGTGTCTCCATCGGAGGTTTTTTTGTGAAAATTTCAAAAATTTGAATATCAAAATATGTAAATTTGAAACAAATATTCAAGACACTAAAAACTTCAAATAAAAATTATCAACAACAAACATGTAGATCAAGTCGGCCACTACAACTTTGGTATTAACTATGTGAACATTCAAGGTCGTTTAGACATTCTAAATTTTGAATTTCAAAGTTTATGAACTTAAAACACATAGTTGGGACTCTAAACAGCTTCATTTCAAAAGAAAAAAAAATCAACTACAAAGTTATAGATTGTATTGAGAACTACAACTTTGGTGTAGACCAGGTCAACATCCGTGTTTGTTTGGAAACTTTAAATTTTAGATTTCAAAATCCATTAACTTAAACAATATTTGAGACTCTAAACAGTTTCAAATGAAAAACTTCCCAACTACAAAGTTGTAATTTGTGTCAACAGCTACAATTTTGATATAAAGTTTGTCTTTATCTAACTTCATATGAAAAGTTATGAATTATTTTTTGATGCAATTATTAGAGATGGATCTCTTAAGATGTCCGCCTCTGTTAATCGATTTTTAGACAGACTCTTAGAATGACCGCTTCTATAGATAGTGATTTTCAAAGACGAACATCTTAAAATGCTCACCTCTGAAAATCGACTTACAGAGACAGACATCTTAAAGCATCCATCTCTGTAAATCAATGATTAATAGAGGCAACCACCTTTGGATGCACCTCAGTAAATGATTAATAGAGGCACGCATTTACCTGGAGGCCGTCTAATCATTTACGGAGGCGGTCCCTAGATTTTCTCTCCTCTAAATCAAAGAGGTTGTCTCCTAAATCGTTTTTGTGATGGTGTGGTCGATGATGAGGTCAATTATCGCCACCAGTTCAAACCAGCAACGAAAGTTATTGTCATCGCAGGCTTGTTATACAAACCGGTTGTGATAATCATGAAAAAACAAAAAGGAAGCCGGTCAAGCCCACTCTGGTCCAGTCCATATGTCTTCCTCGAAGCGGTCAAGGTCGGATCCCACATTGCCATCAACGGAACTAGGACAGTAGTGCGCAGGTGGATCCAACCTCCTACACCATGGATCCGGAAGAGCCTTTGGAGTATATAATCACTTCATGTAAAACTAAGAGACATAACTAAGAAAGTTGGAATTTATTATAATTACGGAATGGAGGTAGTGCTTCTTTTCTAGTGATTGTCTGTTTTTTACTCGAGTAACACTGTATTGACTATTGCATGCAAAGCCATGATGTAGAGGAGCAATGTTGCTTTTGGTATAGCCAATCCTTGTCAAGTAATTTTTGAGTTCCACAATTTTTGTTGTTGTTTGAGCGTCCACTTGAATAGATAAGAGCCTTTAGTACTTGGAAGAATAGTCAACATCACTATGTTAATTTTGCTATCAAGCTATTTAGCACAGTTAAGTGCCATGTGGTGATTGCTGGCTTTTGGTTGTTTCATGTTGATGATTGCTTGGATTTTGTAGGGTAGCTTCGATTCCTTTGATTGATATGAAGCAGCCCAACAAGTAGCATAAATGGATAAGGAAGCCATCTTAGAGTCTTCTCAAGGCTCATTTGTTCTAGATAGAGAGAACGATATCATGAGCATCATGGACGAACACAAGGATTAGGCTT